CTATAATTTGAATTTCAACTCAAGAAAATTTAAAAAAAGAAGTTACAAATGGATAGACAAATCCTAAAAGACATAAAATAGATAGTAATTTATATCTTCAATATAGGAACATACATTACATCAATGAAAATAAAGATCTTAAAACGGGTTGAAATTGAAGATTAAATTGGGCTCAATTGAGAATTTTCTTAAAATGAATTAAGATTTGATGGGTCGAGATTGACCACAATTCAAATTATCTTGAGTTCAACCCTTAAAATTATGGACGGATCGAACGAATTACCTTGGACTCATTTTTTACTCCCCTAATCATAATTACGAAGGAATAATTAAATTGGAAGCACGTAGAACACATTGATGGAACAATTCATGAGGATCAGATGCCCCTCACCTTCATTTTGACACAAAAAAAAAACTTCCAAAGTTACGTTTTGCAAGATTGATTGAAGAATACGAGCTATTTACAATCAAATGAAAAAAATACTATTTTTTTGCTGTCATGGGCCATGACTGAAGACTTTGCATGAAACATCCATCTTAAGCCAATCAAGTGTTTATTCTTTTATGGAAAAATTACTTGAATGAGTGTTTTTTGATAAATAATTATTGATTTTAGCAATATTTTTTATTTATTACTATTTATAGCAATATATAGCAATACTATGATAAATCTGTAATATGTATTAAAAGTGAATTATGTATGCAATATATATGTATTAAAACTGTTTTAAAATATATTATGCTTGTTTGGTAAGAAATTGACACATTGTATTAATAATGTATTAAAATGTGTGATAAATGTATTATCAATTAATAAAATTTGTATTATATGTGTTTTTATAAATTGTTCTCTGTAATATGTATTAAAATTGTATTATAAATATATTAAAAGTGATCAAGTGAAAAAAATATTATTGCTATAAATGATAAATATTTTCTTAATATAGAATATTTATGTAAGTTTTCCTTTTTTATTTTATCCGATAAATATCATATCATTAGTCATTACGCTGAATAACTCTAGGTTTTTTTCCATGCACAAAATATTTCGCGTTTATGATTTGGAAAAAAGTCACACCTTAAGGGGTGTGATATATGTGTATTCTGTTCTGATGCAAATATCAATGGCTCGACCTCACACCGAGTAGGAATGAACATAATCGTTGATTTGATTTTTTTTTCATTTTACTAACTTAATGTCGGTCGGTTTTTTTATTCTATAAACCAAATTGAACCAATAAGAGTCAATTTTTAGATTTTACAATTTGATTAGTATTTTTTAGGGTTTATTTCTCCCGTAAAGTCTCCACAATATAAAACATGCAACAGATATTTCTTTTGTTCCGGTAAGACATACAATAAATATATAGAGCTTTCGAAAGATTTTTTTTTTTAAAAAAAATGGAGGAATAACCATGCATTATGCTAAAATATAGTGTCATTAACAGTGATGATAATGAAAATCCATAAAACAATCACACTATTAATTAGAGATAATGAAAATGACCATGATTTTTTTTATTTTTTTTTTGTAAATAAATTTTTTTGGACCATTTCCCCATTTTACGCCCAATCATTACGGATAACGCTTGCATCCTCTGTATTACCGCGGCTGCTGGCACAGAGTGGCGGTATGCGAATCAAAATAGTAAGTTCAAATTTAAAATAACATTCTATTTGTCCCTAATTATTTGTTTAATTTTCTTTTTTTACTTGTCCATTTTGACAATCAAGAAAGGACAATTTTTTTACCTATTATAATTTCAATTAATTACTTTGAAAAAGTTAGAACTTCTTGAAAATCTTAAATTTTTAATTCATCCACTTCATTATTAATAGGGGTAAAATGGTAACTCACTATGTCAATCATTATTTTCTTAATAGGTGTGTTAATTCAAAAATAAACAAATAATTAATAACAAAAGGAATATGTTAAAAACATGAATTGTGAAACTATTTAAGAAATACTTACAAATTATATTATGAAGTACAACATATGTATATAGTTGTATAAATAGAGTGTCATTTTGATTTGATTTCAGTTCGATTTTTTTAGTTAAGATCGAACTAATTATTATCGGATTTTTTCCTCTATATCAAACCAAATCATTTGTCATTTTATTTACCCTCGAATTGATTTGATGTAATTAAATATGAAATGCAAATTAGACAAAAGATTTAACGGTATGGAGAAATTTCTAGTTGTTTCAACACTAATCAAACGATATCGATAGAATTTTGTACAATTCGAATAAAAAAACAGGATCCTACGAAATCTTAATGTGTTTTATTTAGCCATCTCTTTTTTTAACTAAAATAGCATTGCTAATGACCACAAACAAATTAAATCGAATCTCCTACTTTCTACTTATCATTTTTGATACATTGAAGGAGAAAAAATTCCTTGTTTTTTTTTTTGTATAGTTTTTCTCCCTTTCTAATAAATAGGCACTTCCCAAGTTAAAAGAAACACCACCTCTCTTTTTTCTTCTCAACTCTACACTTGTAATCACTAGTTTAAGGTAATTAATATCCCTTTATTTATTCCTATTATACTATACTTTAATTGTTTCAGATTATTTTAATGTTTCTTTTTAATATGTCATACTTTTCTTTGATTTTAGTAATACCTTGTTTTCTTTGTTCCAGTTATTTGTTATCGCTACAACAGTTCTATTAGTAATTGTTATCAACTTCATCGTTGTATTTAATTTGTTTTACATACTTGATTTTTTATATGCTTACTCGTAAGGCTACATATACAATCACCCTTTTCAGATCACATTTGTGATATTATATTGTGTATGTTGTTATTGTTGTTGTTGTTTAACATGACATACTTTATATTCTATTGTTATTAAATCCTACTAACTATTAAAAAGGCTTATGATATTATTATTATACCTACGGAAAAGGGTCAAAAATACCCCTGAATTATAGGAAAATGTCTAAAAATACTCTTCATCCATCTTTTGGCCTAAAAATACTTTTTTACTCATATTTTTTTATCTAAAATTGCTCTTTCATTCACATTTTTGCTCACTTATACCTTCAAAAGTTGAAACTAACGACCCTCTCTTTTTTTCTTTTTTTTAATATTTATTATGTGTCATTCTCTTATTGAATGAAATAAAATCCACATCTCAACTAGATTTTTCCCCCATATTTATCGAAACCAAAAAGAAATTACTTTTTCAAGACCTCAATTATTTTATTTTTAAAGGAAAAATCTAATCATCTTTTATATTTGTTGTAGGTTTTTTTTTTTTGGATCCGACTCCTCTTCATTTTTTTCTGTATTTTCCACAAGTTCTTGCATGGATTGAAGAAAGTGGCATAAGGAAAAATTAACAGCTAAAATTTAATTTAATCAAAAATTTAAATATGATATAAATAATTAATAATGTCATAATCATAATAATATTATCTTATCTATAATATTATAATTTTTTCTCTCTTTTCCTATTTTTATTTTCCCTACGGGCAACAACATCTATCTTCTTTTTCTTCTTTCAAGGAGTTGTTAAAGAGATTATTAGAAAAAAAAATTAAATTGTCAATTTTTATTTTTATTTTTAAAAAGAAGATAGACTTTATTTAGGATTTATGATAATATAATATGTCCTATAATTGTGGCATTACTAATAGTTTTTAAAATATATTAATTATCTAAAAAAAAAAATTTTTAAAAAAAGAACTCTACAGAAAATAGAAATTACTAGATTTAAAAAATATGTATTTTTTTGGGTCTTGAAAAGATATATTGTTTTGATTTGGATAAATTATGGGAAAAGATTAATAAAGGTGGATTTTTATTTCATTCAATAATAAAATGACACATGATAAGTATTTAAAAAAACAAAATAAAGAGGGGTTGTTAGTTTCAAGGGTATAAGTGAGCCAAAAAGGTGAATGGAGGGTATTTTTAGACCAAAGAGATGAGTTGAAAGAAATTTTTAGACCAAAAGATGGATGAAGGGTATTTTTTACCTTCTCCTATAGTTTAGGGGTATTTTTTATCCTTTTTCGGTTATACATATGCCAATAGTAGATGCAAAACATGTCATGGTATTTTTTTAAATTTTCATGTGCTTAGTTCCCCTAAAGGGTTACCTTCTTTATTTGAATTCATGACTTGTTATTAGGTGTTGAAGAGCTTTGTGGAGACGCTGCTAGGATTTCTGAGTTCTCTCATCAAAATTGTCATCACACTATCTGCTAACAGTGAGGTAAGAAATCTTGAGACTCGTCTTGAAAAGTTACAATATATTTCCTTCGTTTCAGTTAGTTTGCTTGGTTTTGACTTTGACACGTACTATATTTAAGAAAGTAAAGCAGAACTTTTTAAATCTTGTCATGTCTTGAAGACTTAAACTAAAGATGTCATGTCGAATGTACCAAAATGTGGTTTATTTTTTTGTAGTCTAAACATGTTGTGTGAAAAGTTGAAATTAAAGAGTCGCAAAAAAATAGACTAAAAATGAAAGTTAGACAAATAAATTGAAACGAAGGGAGTATTAATCATGGGCTTTGATCTGGTTATATTATCTCACCAGCAGACCTTTTCTACATTTTCTTCAAATTCCATCTACAGAACATCTTTATGATAAATTTAGTTTTATCAACCATTAATTTTCCCTTATTTCCCAAACATGTTCAGTCCCATAATACTGTAACCATCCTACAGAGTTGATTTCTTAGATGGTCATTCAACGAACGTTAATTATATCATAAATTCACCTTTATTAGTTGAGTGATTATCTAAGAAATCAGTTCCAATGTCATTCTTGCTAAAACTTTGATCCAGAAACCTTTTAATATTTCATCCAAGTTACACTATATCAAAAATGATCTTTAGCAGCAAGTAATTAAGGACAATAACTTAATTGCACTGAGCACTCTTTATAAATATCTCTAAAGCCTATAGCAGGACTCTTATTTTCTGCCCCCTTTAGTATCTATGAGGGCACGTTACATTTTCAATTTTGAAAAATTTGCAGCTAAGAGATGGGAGAGGCAATCATGGAAGCTTTAGCCGAGCTGATCGTAAAGGACTTGTCAAAGCAAGTGAACATACATGCTCAGTATGCAATACAATTTGAAAGTGAGTTTGAGGTGATGAAGAGAGAGCTGAATCTCATGCGTTCATATCTCACTGAAGCAAACAGGCTGAAAGGAAACAATAACTCTGTCAAGACTACCTTATCTGAACTTCAAGAACTAATTTATGAAGCAGATAATGTGGTCACGGATTGCCAAATCCGCGAAGACTATCAAATGATGAAAGGGAATCCATCTTGCTTGCTTCCGTCTCCGAGGGAGATATCTTTCAGATATATCACTGGAAAGAAACTAACAGGACTTAACAAGAAGATATTGAAAATGCATCAGAAGCTGAGGACCTTTGTTGGTCCAATAACTGAACAATCACGAGGTGACGAAAACATCAGTAGAAGGATAAGATGGACCTCACACATTTTTGATCAATCTGAAATTGTGGGGTTATCAGAAGATACAAGAAAAATCAAAGAATGGATCCTTTCTCATAGCGAGTCATTACATCGCGTTGGCATTGTAGGTATGGGCGGTTTGGGTAAAACCACAATCGCGCAAAAGGTGTACCATGACAGACAAGTGAATGTGAGATTTCAAAAGAAAGTTTGGGTTTCTGTATCTCAAACATATGATGAGCTTCTCGTCATGAAGGGTATTTTGAAACAGTTGAATGGAGATGATAGTGGAACTGACAAAGGAGATTTGCTTAATAGAATTCTTGAAGCACTTTCACATAAGTCATACTTGATTGTCTTGGATGATGTATGGAGCATTGATGATGGATGGTGGGATAGAATATCAAGGGGATTACCAAAGTTTGTAGAGCACAATTGTTGTATTATAATTACATCAAGAAATGATGATGTTGTTAAGAGGATGGGAGCAACAGAATCAAGAATTCATCGACCAAGATTGCTCGATGATGAAGAGAGTTGGTCATTGTTCTGTAAATTTGCATTTTTGTCAACTAAAGGGAAGTGCAATACTCAATTGGAAGAAGTTGGAAGAGAGATCGTGCGCAAATGTCATGGTCTTCCTCTAGCCATCAAGACCACAGGTGGGATGTTATCATCAAAACCACATTCACTCGGGGAGTGGACAAGGATATGTGAAAACTTTCGAGAGAAATTGGTATCGGATAGTGAAAGCAATATCTCTGTAATGGCTTCTTTGCAACTAAGCTATGATGAGCTTCCTGCTCATCTAAAACAGTGTATGTTATGCTTCTCAATCTATCCAGATGACCATGAAATTGAGGCGGAACAATTGGTTCGTTGGTGGGTAGGGGAAGGATTAGTCCGTGGTGATGGCACAGAAACTGCAACAGATGTAGCTTTTGGTTATTTGTCTGAACTCGTAAGTCGGTGCTTGGTTGAAGCTGTCCAAAGAAGAAGCTTTGATGGCAAAGTTTATAGTTGCAAGGTGCATGATATGGTTAGAGACATGACAATTCTCGTTGCAGAAGACGAGAAATTTTGCAGCTTCAATCGAGGCAGGAACATAGCCACAGTTAACTCTAGGCACTTGGGGGTCACAAGGGAAACAACTTTTCAATCCTTATATGGGAACTCAAAGCTAAGAGCACTTCTTCTCACTACAACAAATTACATCGGCTTCAACAGGAGAATCGCTCTGGCTGAAATCAAGACTCTCAGGGTCTTGGACTTGTCATGTGTCAAGCTAGATAAAATCTGTATGATTGATCTATGGCAATGGATCACATCACTAAAGCGACTAGCTTATTTAAATCTGAGAAATGTTGCAAATTTGGACGAGATTCCAGACTCCGTAAGGAAGTTATGGGGCCTTCAAATACTAGTCCTTAGAGAATGCAAGGAACTGAAAATGCTACCAACATCAATCACAACACTTCCAAGATTGACAATTCTTGATGTTGGAAGCTGTCCATCCTTGTCATGCTTACCACAAGGTCTCTCTAGGCATTCCAATCTTGAAGAGCTGTACGGGTTCAAGATACCGAGTCCAGCAACAACAGAAGCTTGTCGCCTGAGTGAAGTCGTTGCACTGACTCAACTTCGGGTACTGCACTTAGACATAACGGAGGAAAGCATGATAGATGACAAGGAATTGGCTGCATTGAAACAACTTGAACTACTAAGGGTGTTATCGATCAATGCAGGGGACTGTGAAAACAAGGACATCATAAGGAAGCTGGATAACTTGTCACCACCAACTCGCGTTGAAGAGTTATATCTAAGGCACTACCTCGGAGAAACCACACCAGCATGGATAAACCCCATTTCACTTCCCCAACTGCAGTACCTTTGCATCGAAGATTCAAGAGTGCTTAACCACATGAGTGAAATTTTTTGGGGAGATAATGAGGATAACTGGAATGTTGAAGGACTGTGCTTGAAATTCTTGCCAAGGCTGGAGGAAACATGGGAAACATTCCAAAGTGCAATGCCATCCCTCAAATACTTAGAAGTCGGCCACTGCAATTCGCTGAAAAATTTCAGATGTAACGTTGAGGGTTTAGGATATTGGACAAAGCCAGAGGAAGAGGAGCAAAACAAGGGAGATCAAGACGTGATTTCGTGCCACGAAGGAGGTAATGAAGGAGAATTTGATGACATGCACTGATGACTTGTTTGCTGTTCTGTATGTTATTTGTTGAGTTTTTATTCGAATACTGTTTTCATGTAACGAACAGGTAGATAACTTTGTATTGTATGCTATTGTATGTGATTGTGAATGATGGATCTTATTATGAAACCTCTTACTATGGCTTCAGACTTTGTTACAGAAATATATCTATTGGAAGTTCGCTAAGAGCAAATATCAAATTGATATAGAGCTGTGATGCTTGTCTGATCCTCCAAAAGTAGTGTATTTTTGAAGTACGCGCCTATGTTTTTGGAGAGTCCGAGCAACATAGATATAGAGTATGATAGAACTAGCAAGCTAGAAACTAGCATATATGTAACATGGTGTTTATCAACTCTGTTTGCATATTTAAGATACATGTAACAGAAATCCTAAGAAAATTTTATTATCTGAATCAAATGGATAGCTCCTCCAAGTGAAAAGGGCGAGATATTCCATGGATGACGAACTTCTTAGACACGAAAATATCGGGTGCTGTGATCTCCACACCATCAATGATCAATACGCGCGAAAAATTGCTCTTAGAAATAGTGACATTCAGGGCTGGAGTCAGTGTCTTGAGGGATGATATGTCAGGCAAGAGAGCCAATTCCATGGAAGTGTACCTCTGGGGCATTATATGAAGCCTTACGATTCTTTCGAGCAACGGTGAAGGAGATGATAAAAATCCCAAATGTGGAGGAGCAAAGATTGTTACAAAGCTTAAATTTGCAGAATCTTGAAGAACTCCATCAAGAACAGAATGCAATTCAATTGCAAAGGAGGCATATCCATTGGAGTTGAGCAATTTGATGATTCTTGGCCAATCAACCAAGTTCTTAGTACCGGTAGCACTTTCATTTGGCATTTCATCACAAATTGGTGATTGAATAGCATCGAGGTGTTCGTCGATTCCATGAAAATCTAGCACAGAGAAGGCCCCACTAACTCCATGAATGGAAAGCTTTCCTTCAAGAAACACATCAGGATGAGAAACAGAGACATTGTTGATCTCGATGATGCTCTGTTTTTTATCAATTCTGGTGATGACAATTTTCTTCTGAGATAAAAGGGTCGTCAAGCAACAATCTCGGGACTTATTCAACAGTTCCTGAAATGGAATTTTTGAAGGAGAAATATGGTACTGAAGGAGCTGCTTCATTGCCCAAGAAGGAACAGAGAGCTTGGAAATGGCGGAATCTTGAATTGCAAAAATGGTGGATTGTGGAGTTGATAGGAAAATTTCAGGGGAAATTTGAAGTAGAGTAGCTATGATGTTGAATCCTTGATTTCGAAGAGCTTTAGAAGCGTTCATGGTGAGGGCATGCTTGCTGAATTGGTGAGGTGAATTTGAGTAATTGACGGTTGATTTAGAATGCATGGTGGATTGGATTGCTGTGTAAGCAAGAACTATGGAGAGGAGTACAAAAAACAGAGCATGACATCCATAACTAGCCATACTTACTTGCAATTGATTTTCTTCTGTGTGCTCTGTGATTCTGTGTTTTGTGAAGACGAACAAGAGAAGTTCTTTAAAGCAGAGAAAGGAATTTTCACCTCCTAACGAATGAAGAGACCTCTGTGTAGTTCACTTATGTCATTAAGAATGACTCAAAATGACATAAGTGGAGCAATGTAACAGAAATTACGTCATTTTTTCATTTTTTTTTTGTGTGTTGAATTCATTTTTTTTTTAAATATTTGGGGAACCTCTATAATGAGTTGAGGTATCGGTATGTATAACTTCACCATGATCCACATATTTTTGGACATTTAGAAGTCATTTAATAGATACTAGATGATTTTCATAGTTTTTTGTGTGAACCCACGAATATTTTAGTGATATGACTTCTGGGCAATTTTTTTAGAAAAAACTTAACAAGACCTTCCGTAATGAATTGGGGAGCAATATGTATAGCCTTCGTAGGAAGTTGGGGGAGCAGTACGTAAAGTTTCACCATTTTTAGAGTGATTTTTGGGTATTTAGGGGTAATTAACTGGAATTAGGTGATTTTCTTAGTTTTTTGTGTGCTTTTGCCCATTCATATTTCGGTGATGTGGCTTCCGGACGATTTTTTTGCAAAACTTTTATGAAACCATTTGTAGAGAGTTGGGAGAGCAAAACGTACAGTCTCACCACTTTTAGAGTGATTTTTAGGAATTTAAGGGTCAATTTACAAGAATTAGACGATTTTCTCAGTTTTTTGTGTATATTAGCCTAAGAATATTTTGGTGACATTGCTTCCAGACGACTTTTTGTGAAATCTTTATGGGACCCCCATAGGAGTTAGGGGAGCAGTACATACAGTCTAACCATATTTAAAGTGATTTTTGGGCATTTTCAGGCCAGTTTATCGGAATTAGCGATTTTTTTTGTCTGTTAGCCCATGAATATTTTTGTGATATGATTTTCAAACTAATTTTTTGCAAAACTTGAATGGAGGGAGTTGGCGGAGCACTACGTACAATCTCACCATTTTAAGATTCATTTTTGGGCATTTAGAGGCCAATTTATAGGAATTAGGTGAATTTCTAAACAAAGTTGTGTGTTAGACGATGAATATTTTGGTGATATGCCTTTCGGAAGAATTTTTTGTGAAACCTTTATGGAACCCTCTGTAGGAATTCATGGGGAACCGTACGTACAGTCTCACCATTTTTAGAGTGATTTTTGGACATTTAGGGATGGTACGTATAGCCTCATCATGACCCACGACATTTTTAAACTTTTAGGAGCCATTTAACAGGAATTAAATGATTTTTCTGAGTTTTTCATATGTGCTAAGTATTATTTTACTTGAAATATCTTTTGATCTTTTAATATTTCAAAATTTTAAAGTTCATTATTTACATAGTGACGGAACCATGTGCAAGGAAGTAGGAAGTCGTAGAAAACTATACCGTATGAATACAATAAAAGAATTTGTTTATATAAGATTTTATATATAGCCTATAGGATGTGTTTGGTTTAGAGAAATTTCAATTTTGTTATGTTAGGTTTGTCAAATTTTTTTAAAAAAATGTTTTTTTAGAAAAATTAACTTTCTAAAAATGAAAAAAATATCTTTTTTTTTTAAAGTCGAATGACAAATAATATTCTATGTTGATTATATTTTTTCACCGTCCAACACTCTTCATGTGTATGTCATTCATGTATTCTTCATCCCCCTAACCCCACTCCCTTTACCTCCATCCACCAACTCATCTCCAATTATATTTTTTTTAAGAAGACATACATAATTTTACGATTATATATTTTAGTAGACTTAAAAAAGAGAAAATATATTACCAACTTTTGAGGGTCTTTACTGTTCGTTCATTAATATTATTTACTACATAGAGTTCCGGTTAGATTTCAATTAATATGACCTTATAATAACATAACAAAACATTTCATTTTTACTTAAAGAGACGGGAAGATCAGTGTTGCAACGTTACAAAAAAATAAATATTTTAATGAGATTTTCTGACCAAGGTCGGTCCTCATCTAATTGGGGTTGCAAAATATTTTATCTGCAACGGCAGCAATAAATGAAGTACTTATAAAATAGATGAACTCTAACAATTTGGACGCTAATTTTATCTCAAAAGTTTTTCAAGTTATAATAATTTTGAATTTTTCTAAACTCACGGATATATTTATTTTCGCCTGATACATAATAAACGATACATTAGTTATGAATCAGATTCATACTAATTTAGGTTTGAAATAATAGGATATGTATTAATAATAACATTTGTACTAAATACATTCTACACAAATAAAGTTGTAATGTATCTGATAGAGATGTTAAAAAAGAAGAAGGAAAAAAGAATTTTTTGTAATGTAAATTCAAATGATAGAAAATTTTAAAAATTAAGTTATCTTAAGTCGTATAATTATATAATTTTTCATAAATAAATTCAAGGCCTTTAAGAGAAATATACGCGTAAATGGCTCCATTTTTCTCATTTCCTTCTCTCTCTTTTTTTCTTCACTAGGGCCCCTACTTTTGGGTTAAATACAACTCAGCCTACCTAAATTTTAATGATTTATATTTTTTTAAATTGTTTTTTTCTGTTATTTAAACACCTGAACTTGCACCTATTTATCATCTTAATATATAAACTTGAAATTTTCCCATATAAACCACTCAGAGAAAAAAAAAAAAATAGGAAGAGAAGAATAATTTTCCTTTAGAAAAAACCATTGTACAGTCGTTTAACAGCTTCACTTAAATTAAGGCGCAGTCCGCGGGAATACACTATATTTAGTCAAGTACAATACTCGATTCATATTAAGTGAATTATCGAGAACACCTCTTAAAATATATATTTTGAAACTAAGAAAAATATCATGAATTAGAAAGAGTAAGTAGTAATTAACTAACTATTCAGCTCACTAACATGAGTTCTGATGCAATGATGGAACTATTTCACTCTTAATCAGATGTTGGCAAAATCACATTAACTCCGAATAAATATGTAATCCGCAATTCAGATTTAGTTGAGACTCCAAACACTAGACGAAAAAAATATCTATTATACTCTAAGAATTCATAGAGGAAAGCTGAATTTTATGTAATTAATTATCATGTTCAACATCCAAAAATGTTTGTATCTATTTCTAAATATGATAAATAACTCTTACTATTCACAAATTTGTACTCCATATTCTTCTAATGATCTGCATCTGATTTCTTTCTAGTAACTCTAATATAGCAATAAACAGTAGCAAAAATAGCCGTTACAAGTCCACCAATAATAACCCCTCCACCAGCAACCGATTTATCAGAATGATGATGCTCTGTTTCCATACTCTCTGGAGCTTCAACAATGAAATAAGACGGTTCATTTTCATCTTCCATTAACGACTTTACAGCTGGCGGATCTGCAATCAATAACGCTCTTTCCACCATCATCTTTCTTGGGTATGTTAGTGAAGTTGTAATTGTAAATTCCCCTGCCTCTGCTTGAATCGCTGAAATTACTAGTAGCAGAAAGTAATAAAACATAAATCTAAATCGATCCATTATTAGAAAGTGCAAAAAGAAAACAGAAATTTTGAAAAATTTAGCAGGTGTTTTGAGTGTGGACTGGTTGATGATACTATTGTTTTTGCTTTTGTGTGAGTTTTCTGAATTTGAGGGATTGTGTATAAATAGAGGAGACAAGCTGTGGAAGTGGGTGTGAAAATTAAACATATAAAAATTGAAGGTTGAGAGAAGTTTCAGCCTTTCATGGGTCCAGCTGGGTCTTAAGTAGGACCTAATTATGTCCAATAGGTTTGGAGCACAAAATATTCCAATTTTTAAATAAGGGTTTTCATAACGCCTCTCAATTTGGGATGAATTATTAATTTTATCATTCTTTGGAATGACTCAATGGTTTGGGTTTGGGACTTCCATATTGGAGGTATCAAGTTTGAAACTCCTTGCCAGCAAAAGCAAGGGTTTTGTCCTCTGGGCAAGTTTGTCACACCGGGTTTGCCTAGTGCGAATTACCTTTCATGCGTGATTTGTGAGCTATTGCATAGGAGTGAGGGTTATACTCTAGTCTTAAAACTACCTCTCTACTCTGGGTTTCTCTTGTCATCAACAAAAAAAATTGTTAGTTTTATCTCAGAATTATTGACTGGGAAAATTGTTGAAAAAATCCATAAATTTGACGAAAATTTTGAGGATGCATTTTACTCATGTGACAAAATCAGGGGTATATTTAAGTTAAGTAGAGAGTGTTTTTAAGGTCGTTAAAAATTCAGATATGAAACTAATAGATCACTCCAAATTTTAAAGTGTATTCAATAATTCTCTCTTTTTAATCAATGTAAAAAAAACAATACAGTTTAAATTTAATTAAATTAATAATTTAACTATAAATTAATTTATATATGAAGATTTACTTTAGATTATAATTTTTAAAAAATTATAATATAAAAAAAAATTACATTTAATCAAACATCATCACATAACTCGAGACTAAGAGAGTTAGTACCATTACAAACAACTTTCCAGATAATGTGATAGTAATGTGGGGGTTGTGAAGCTGTAATAACACGTAAAATTATGGACTGCAAGTGGGTAAGGAGAGTGACATCTGCTTTAATTACTACGTATGACATCAATTAAAACGTTAACAAAGAAATAATAAATGGGACCGACGGAAAGTATTTTTTTAAAAAGTAAAATGGAGTTAAATTCATGACGCCGACTTTTCTAGACTCTTCTGACTCTTAAAAGTTAAAATCGACTATATAAATCGTTTTACTTTTAAATTCTAGAAATAAAACAAATAGTACTAAGAATTTTGGCACATAAATTTTTGGACAAAAAGACTTCTAGAAATTATTGAATCTAAATAATTCTGGGTGAGTGAGCTCTCATTAAATTTTAGAAAATAATTTGAAAATAAGTAATTAATATTAAGGGGAAAAATATAGGGGTGTGCAAATCAAAAATGTTACTCCCTCCGTTCCATATTATAAGTCACATTTTTCATTTGCACTTGCATTAAGAAATAAGGTAATTTTACCCTTATGCCCTTATTTAATGTTTGCTTATGACAACTTTGTAATAAATGATAAAATGTTAGATTTTAAAAATATAAATGCATTTGGATGACTATTTAAATTTTACTTTTTGGAGCCAAATTTTTTCACCAATTGATCCAAAAATATTTAAAAATCAAGTTTTCCCACCTCAATTTTCCTATATATTTTGTGTAAAATATTTTTTATATTTTTATATATAAATTCTTAAAGCAAACATGACAACATCACAAAATATTCAAATTTCATTACTTCAAATTGATCTAAATTTTCCTGCTGAATTTGATGTTATTGATAATGAAATTAGACGACAAATGAATTTTAGTTCTAGTTCAACAAATCATTTGTTTTTTTGATTTAAATGGTGCATAACTCCTTTATTTGAATCTTGATTTTTCTCAATTTGGCCTTCACATGTTTTGGTTGAGTCTTCTATTTTTACATCTTTGAACTTTTCGAAATGTCATCTTCCTTGATAAAATTTGTTGAAGCCTTAACTTTCAAGATTTTTTTGAATTTTTTTTCATCTTATATTTTTAATTTGTTTGTTGATATTTTTTTCAAAATCAGATTTTATAGAATAAGTAGTGAATAAAGAAAGTAGTTAATTAATGAATGAAGTACTCTCCCAATGAAATTAATTACTTGTAGATTTCCTAGGTTAGCCAGAGTAAATACATTTTCAAGATTAATTAATTAATCAATCAAGGATATAATGGGCAATATAGTAATTTATGCATAAATTTTATAAAATGACATATATTGTGGTCCAGCTATTTTTAGAAATGGGTGACTTATAATATGGGACGGAGGGAGTATTAGTTTATTATTACTCCCTCCATTTCATATTAAGTTAATTTTTGAGGTATTTTTCATTTTTCAAATTAATTTAATTGTTCAGTTTTCAAGACTACTTTTAGAGTGTTCTTTCAATTTTACCCTTCATTAGTTACTATTGGAATTAGTGATTAATTAATATTTAGTTATTTTAATCATAAATTTGACAATAATTAATAAGGGTAAAAATGGAAAACTAGGTTCAATTTATATCTTAATCTACTTTTCTTAAAGGGTGTGAAACACCTCAAAAATTAACTTAATATGGAATGGAGAGAGTATTAGATTAACGGATTTTTAATGGTTTTATAAAAAAATATTAGGTTATCGGTTTGGTTTTGAATTCTAGTATTGGATTATTGAGTAAATCGATAACTCATTAAGACTATAGTAATTTACTATTTTAACCCTACATAAATATTAAATATTAATCCTAGTACTTTACTGGTTACTACTTTTTCCTTTAACCTCCAATTCACACTTCACATTTACTTTGAGTGCATAACTTCACATTATACAAAACGTCAAAACCTAAAATAAGAACTTTATTCCTCTTATTTTCTCTTTGTGCTGCACTTGTATAATTCTTTTCATGTTAGTTATTATTGTTTCTAATTTATGAGTGTTCTGTAAAGTTACATTATTGTCTTGTCACGTCAAATTATTGAAGACATATATTTATTTTATAAGCATTTTCTTATTAGGTAAACCAAAAACCGGATAATTAAAGATCAAAATCGATAAACTGAAAATCAATAATAAAAAAAAAATTATTGATTTGATTATTGGTTTAGTATATTTATAAATCGAAAACTGATAAATTGAACCGATAATACATAAAAACCGAACTGAACCGACCGATGCATACTCCTAGTAATCCTAGTAAAACATGAAAGAAAATATATTTTCTTGATATGTTAAATTGACAAGTAAAAATAAAAATCTATTTTTAAATAGTGGAACTAATTATTTTTTGTCACTAGGACTAAAATAGATGGGAAGGAGTAGGTAAGATTGGTGCTCTCAAGATAGCAGCATGGCTGGGCTCAAGGGGGCAAGAAGATATTATTAGCAACCAATAATACAAACACAAAGATATATAATTAATCAATTAATGGCATTGGCATGTTGTGCATGTGGTATAGATTATGCCTAAAGGCTTCTGACATCTCTCACCTACATTGGACAAATTCTCATCCAATATTAGGGTGCTCTAGCGGAGCCAGAATCTTTTATACGAATTTAAAATATGAAAAAGTAAATAGATGAAGAAGTTAAAGTAATTATGTTCAAATTAAATCTATTATATATATATATATATAATAATTTCAATCATATATAAACAATATAATTTTTCACTAAATAAAATTTAGATGAATTCCTTGCCCCTACTGGCTCCTCTCCGGGCGCAAGTAGAACTCTCTCTATATGTATCTACTTGTAAAATTCAAAGTTGTTGATGAAGAACCAGTAGTTTAAAAGTGAGGTAATCTGTCAATTAGCTGGAACCCCAGCTGGGAATACAACGATTAGAGGTTTGTTTTCCTGTTATCTACTTGTAATAGGTAGTAGTATTTTCCCTTGAATATATTGGGGTCCATAATGTGTATGTTTAACTAAAAAGGTCCCTATCTTAATTAATTTCATTTTCTCCGGAGTAACTATAACGAACTAATTTATTTTAGCTAAAAAGTCGAACCAAAGCATGGTGTCAAAGGAAGAACACTATGGGGAGCGGCTCAATAGAATAGATGGTCATCAAGATCATTCTCACAGAGAATAATGCTAGGACAATATATAATATAATAATCAATAAAAAATAATACTAACATAACTAATTTCATCGTAACTTGTCTTCAAATCAAACAATCTCTCAGTTTTTGTAAAAATAATCAAGAAGTAAGAATAACGGATTGTGTATCATAATGCAATAGAAAAATTGTTGATCTTACTAGCAACCAAATTACCCTAAGTCAAATTTTGAATCACTAAAAAAACAAAGATTTGAATCCATAAACTATATGTCTTGTGTATGTGTTGTTAGAGAATTAGAAAGGAAGAAAGAGTTTTCTCTTGTGTTTTCTATAAGCATCTATTATTTCTCTCTCATATAAAAGAGGAGAAGAAATTACAAGAAAATTTTGATTTTTCCACGTTGATAACCATAGGACACCAGAAGAGGTGTGGTAATACTACCTCCGTTCACTTTTACTTGTTACTTATTTCCAAAATAGATTTACATTTTTATTTATTCTTTTGATATATTAAAAAAAGATTATTTTTTTTTTCATGTTTTACCCTCAACATTAAATACTTATTTTCCAAATCATTTTTTAAGATATTATTTGATGGGGGATAGTTTAGTTAAATACCTATATCATTAATTATTTCTTAATCAGTGTGTCAAGTCAAGTCAAGTAAAAGTTAATACAAGAGTAATTTTTTTCTTCTAATTGGATCAAATTAGTCCACATAGGTGATCCCGCCCATAATAAATATCCAACAACTCTCATTTCGCACGTGATGGACTAAATCCAAGTCATAGGACAAATAATTTGTTCGACTTGCGAGAATCAAAAACTATCATAAAAACTATTTTGGAACTTTACCAAAAATAAAAGAATTAGACATTTTTTTCTTTTAAATGAT